CTAGAGAATTTTCAATGCTCCTGAGTTTTTTCTTTCATGAAGTATATTAGAGCAGCTGAAAACGAATATTCCAACAAATTTTTACTTCGAAAGGGTTCTTCGTTGTTTTGTGACCACAGTGAGCTTGAATTCCTAAGCTTTTGCGTGATGGGGCATTCTCGGCAGCCGAGAGAGCTGTCAAGAACAAGAAGGTTGAAGAAGTGACTTATATGGGGGGGGGGGAGGGATTTTGCTATGTGAACAGTTGTCATATATTAGAAAAAATGTTACTTTATATTAATGTTCATGAGTTCCTCGAGAGACGAATTCACGCTTTCTTAGCAAAACTCAGTGCCAGATGTTTCTAGCTTGTTTCTGTTAGGTTGTGGTCGCCATGTTAGTGCTCCAATACAAAGCTCTATAAATTTGATCACGAATACACTGAATACAGTCGAAGCTCTCCCTGCGACCACTCTCGTAAGCGACCAGCTCTAGTTACGACCGCCTTTGTGAAACCCTGTTTGAACTGTGACTTAAACTTTGTAATGAAAACCTCTCGTAAGCGACCGCGACCTTAGCCTGCGAAAACACTCGTTTCTCCTCGCTCTTCGCCGCTGGGGACGAAACGTCCCAGCGGCGAAGAGCGAGGAGAAACGGATGTTTTCGCAGGCTAACCGCGACCACCCTTGGGATAACCCAACTGGACCTTTCCTTTGTTTTTAAGCTGTTGTAAGCAACCACTCAAGAGTCTTATTATAATGAATAAACACTTTAATGACTTTAATGAAACTGCACACTGTGCTAATGGTCTAAAACATTGGACGTAAAGCTTGGCCATGTCTATATCAGATATAAAGACACTCATTTAACCTTAATTTCTTTTGTTTTACCATGCGGTCGTTTACGAGAGGTCATTCTCGTAAGCGACCAGCTCTAGTTACAATCACTTTTTCGAATTTTTGAAGTGGTTGCTTACGAGAGCTTCCACTATAAATCTATTTCTCCGAATATCTGGCATGTGAAAAATTCCAAAGACCTGAACAGGCTTGGTAGAGGGTCTCAATGGGGTTAACCGATAGGCGTAAAACGGCCAAAAATTTAGCCGATAGCCGTAAAAATTAAAAAAATTTAACCGTTAGCCGTAAATAGCGTAAAAAAGAGTTAACCGTAAAAGAAAGTGTTCCCTAGATTTGCTACTTTTAAGGAAGGTACTAAACTCACTTATGGTTGTGTTTTTTATTTCCCGGCTATTGTGAATCCGTACGCACGTTAGGGGAAGCGCCTTTTAGGTGTTAACCAAGACCTAGGCTCCATTTCCGGCGCTTTCTTGGGGAACTAATTTTTTCCATAGCGAAAGTGTGGCTTCTTGCTGGGGATTAATATTTGCAATTTTCAGGAGGCCGTGCCCTCAAAACTCTAGTGAAACAACACGCAGAGATGTCACTGTTTGTAAAACACGTTGCCGATAAACAACAATTCCCTGTTTTTCTCGGACGCTATGGTAGACATCGCCATGCCTTGTACCTGTTCGGCGTCTTCCCACGCAATCTCCATCAAGACATTTCAGTGGCGAACTCGCTCGGACCACATGACCCGAAAGGCATCAGCCGCGCGGAATAATGCGGCCTACGGACAAGGCAACGGCAAGACAGTCGTTCCGTACAGTCCTTCGCTATCATTAAAAACACTGGACACGGAAATTTTGTTATTGACCGTTTTCACACTAGACCTAGAAATGGATCATCCGTCTGAGACTAGCCTGTGTACAGTCGCGCCCTCCCCACAGACACCTCTTCTCCGATTTTTTTCTGAGGGGAGGGGGCGGCTGTACACAGGCTATCTGGAACGGATAATCCTGTCTTCAAAAGTCAGGCGGATTGTTTATTCCAAATTAAAACTATTCCATTGCCAAATTAAGACGTATCACCTATCTGACGCGAATCATCAAACGGATAACCCGTCTCACACGAATAATCCTTCTCTAGTGTGAAAACGGCCATTTCTGTTATAATGAATGTCGCGCCCCGGCCTTGAGTTGGGCGTTCGCGTGTCTGCTTTTGCTTTTTCACAAAGATTATTTTTAAATTGACTATTGACATTTCTATGTGTAAAATAATATCAGAAGTGCAATACTTTATAAAAAGTATGATCTATCAAATGTTAAAATTTTTCAAAAGAATAGCTTATTTCATCCCGAGATGATCCGAAGACCTTTATTTTGATTTAAAGATACAAAAAAATACAGGATAATTAATATTTAACTTTTTGAAACAAAAGAAGTTAATTTTCAACTTTTCCCTTAACCGTAACTGAAAAAAATTAACCGATAGCCGTAAAAGAGCCAAAATTTTAGCCGATAACCGTAAAAGCCACCACCCCATTGAGAACCTCTTAATATAAACTTCACTATTTCGCCATTGATTATAATCGACATTGAATTGCAATTTTGAAAAAGCTATGTACGTATAAGTAAGTAAGTAAGAACTTTATCATAGTGTCGAGGTCGCTAGCATACAATGTACAAAACACCTTTTCGAATCTTTAGCTGCAGATTATTTACTTGCACATTTCTTTTACATTGTAAACGGCATAACCCATCGCCTTTCTTTACAGAAGAGACAAGCTTCATCCAAGCATCTATGGCGAAGTCCTCTTCTGGCCATATAACTGGAAATATTAGAACTTATAACAAGAATTCCCCTGACAGTGTATTCGCCGTAGGTTTCTGATTACTCAGTTTCTAGCAGTAAAGCTTTGGGCAAGAACACCCTTGCAGATAGGAGATAGTCCGTCGGCACTCTTCCTCTATTTTTGCGTCAACTACTCCAATCAGAAATTGTTGTCTGGTTAATTGCTACCAGATAAAATCATAAATAGTGGATAAAGCGAAAACCCCATTGGGATCACGTCAATCATAATTTGCGGTTTGAAATCAAGGAAACATCATAGCCCTCCTCTTGAGTCAGTATAACAATTCTCTTGTGTAAACTCCCTCCGTTTTCTCTCTACTAAACAGGCTCTTACCATATTTCAGTTAGTTCTACCCCCTTCTTTTAGTCGTGTATGGTATTTATTTTCATTTGGAAATTTTTGTATCTTCTCTCGACGACTGATAAATCAGAACCGAGTAATTTTTAACTTTTAGTCATTGAAGGGCTCTAAATTTGGAGCTGATTGAAATCTGGTCCTCGGACTTTGAAACAGGTCAAAGAGCCCTCTTTGATTGTTAATGGATTGTTTTTCTATTTCTATGGTGGTAAGATGACGGAAATTATTCATTGAACTTTGAACGCGAAATACAAATATGTATAGAATAGTTAACATAAGAAATCAATAGAAAATACTCAAGAGATAATTTGAGGGTGACGTATCATTTTCACGCAATATGAGTTTATTACGCTACCTTATTAATTTTTTACATCACACTGTAACATTCTTTGAGGCCATTAAGAAATTTATATGAACTACAAGAACCATCCAGCCTATATGCACCATACCACTTGAACAAAGTCTAAACAACAAATACATCATGGCATTAGTAAGACACGCCTCAATAAAATCTTATGCGGGAATGCGTCAATAAAATTTTATGCGGGAAAGCTCCGCCCTGATGTAGGACCCCTTGCCTTTTATATACCATTTTTGCTAAATATACCTAGTTCACTGACAAAATATGGAACATCTTTCGCATAGAACGCTGCATCCTATTTTAACAGCTGTAAATGCGCTGGCTTTTAGATATGAATAAATCACTTGGCCTGACTGATTTCAGTATTTTCAGACGACAGGAGCTCCTGCAGACGATCATTCGAAGTAATCGTCTGAAATTCAGGCTATAAATCACTGAAACCAGAAATTTCTCAGTTATTGTCGTCTTTTTCACGGCCATAAAACGCGCCTGTTTCGGAGCCTGTTAGCCTTTTTAAGTCCTTTCACAGACTTTAACTAGTGAAACCCGTACCCTTTATACCAGGTACCCCTTTCGGGCGGGGCTTCCCCCTTTTATAGGCTAGGGAGTGCGTGTTGTAGTGGAAACGTTTACTAAGGCCCTGAAATCTCCCCTTGTATTTCTGAAACCTTCTACAAGAGTATCGATCGGTTTCCTGGCTTATTTGATCAGGAGTCCTGTCGGTTTTGAAGTGAGAGAATCAGTATCAATCGACTTCTGAAATGGACTCTCTAGAAAGACTCCCAGGGAAAAAATCTCATATTTGGCCCAGGTTGGTAAGTGCCACTGAACATGGCATGGTTTTCAGGAGCCGACAAGAGACATGGGAGTTTCAGGGTCTTGAGCCTTAAATAGGGTATACAATTTTACTGATTTAGCGTCTCGAACAGGATGCCTTTTGGGGCCGGAAGCTGTCAGAAGATGGTGAAGGTTGTCGAAAAGGGTGAAATAATATATTACTCTTCTATGAATAATATATTATTATGAATAATAACATAATTCACATAGTATTCAGATATCTAATACAGTAATACATATCTAATCAGTCAGACCTCGCTTTACGGAAAGTTTACTTTTTCCGGGGAAAGAAAGCCCGTGCTTCATAATTCACTGAGCCACTAGCTATCTTTCGACCACGTGACAGGGTGTGCAAGGTCCGTAAATTGGCGTGACATTTGAGAATAATCAGCTCTTACAGGAGCCCATGGCTCTTGGTCTTCGGTTTTAAAACCTTCAGTGAACTTCTTTCCGAGTGACAGGTATCTTTTAGCCACAATACAGTTCTCAATTAGCCGGTAAGTCATCACAAAGTGAATCTGAAAGTGAACTTTGACATTTCGTGCAGCAAGAAATCACATGGCCAGTTTGTTTGGCATGACTGTTTCGGTTTATTGAACATTGCTGAGTCACGAGTTTGTTTGAAACATTCTGGGCTTTTTAAAGCTGGTTTTAAATTACCTTATTTTCGGCGGACAACGCGACGTTTCTGTTTCTCTACAGCGCCTGTTCGCGAGGAAAATCTGTCGCGTTTTACTTTAGCAAAAAAGCCGCTATCAAATCTTGAGATTACGTAATGGCGAGGGACAAAAGCCGCGCTTGTATCTTTGGATGGAAGAAAATCATTGCTTTGTATGCTCTGGGAATCCTCTTTGCTTTTGCTGGCATCGTTATGTACCCGCTAATGGACAAATATATTCAAAAGAAGGTCAATGAAAGTTTGGTTCTCAAACCTGACTCCGTTGGGTTCAAACAATGGAAGGACCCCTCCGTACCTATCTACCTGCAGTTTTTTATGTTCGATGTAGTGAATCCTATGGAAGTCAAGAAAGGTGCTAAACCATTTTTAGCTCAAATAGGGCCTTTTTCTTATAAAGAACTCAGGCCGAAGAAAAACATTACTTGGGATTCTAACAAGGCTTCAGTTAGGTACAACGAGGAGATGGCATTTGTGTTCGACCCTGAAACTTCTTGTGAATCCTGCGATCCTAACACTGCAGAGATAACAACGGTGAATATACCTTTGGTCACGTTGGCCGAAGCAGCCAGGAATTTGCCATTTACTGTGCTAGTTTTAATTTCTACAGTCTTTGACAATTTTAAGGAAAAGCTATTTATGAAGAGACGGGTACATGATTTACTATGGGGCTATAATGACTCATTGTTTTTGGAATACAACAAAATACGAAATGAGATACCCACGGAGTTTCGCCATTTTTTGCCTGAAATAAGCCCTCTTATTGCCCTTCAGAAGAATAACACTTTTGAGGGTGTCACTGGAGTACACACTGGAGAAAAAGATATCACCAAGCTTGTGCAATGGATGGATTGGAAAGGACTGACAAACCTCAAAGTTTGGAATTCAACTTATGCAAATATGATCAATGGTACTGATGGTTCTCAATTTGCACCAGAAACAAGTAAAGATGACAAACTTTATGTCTTTGTTACGCAGCTGTGCCGTTCACTGTACTTAACTTACAGTGGTAAGAACAAAGTTCGAGGAATAGATGCTATTCAGTTCAGCGTTCCACCTAAGGTATTTCTGAATGCTTCCCTTAATCCTGATAACCAAGGATTTTGCACTACAAAGTGCTTTCCCTCTGGAATATTAGACATAAGTGTATGCCAGCCACCGTCTCCGATAAAGATACCTCTCTTTATCTCATCTCCACATTTCTACTTGGGTGACCCTTCCCTCGTCCAAGCAGTGGAAGGTCTTTCTCCTAACAAAGAAGAGCATGGGACGTTTCTTAATATAGAGCCACATACTGGGATATCAGTGAAAAGCAGCAAGCGATTGCAGATCAACACAAAGGTAGAAGCAGTTAAAGGGATTTCGCAGACCAGTGGAATTAACACAATGTTTTTTCCTATTATGTTCATTAATGAAACAGCAACACTCGACAGTGCCTCAGCAAAGAAGCTTAAAAGTGAAGTATTAGAGAAATTCACCATTGTTCATGGAATTGAACTTGGACTTGTTATTCTTGGAGCTCTGCTCATTGTGGTTGCCTCCATCATGTTAACTGCTCGCATTGTGCGAAACAGAAATAGTAAGAAGGTGAGGCGCATGTTGCAAGTTAATGCTGAGCCAAGCGAAACAAGTCCCCTTTTGTCAGGGAGTGAGTGACAAGTGATGACTTGAGTCTTTCAAGGCATTTTCAAGAAGCTAAACTTTTTTGTTCAACTTCTAAAGATGTAGAATTTGTCTGCAGGTCCTTTGGTAGACCTGCCACAGACAAATTATTAAGGCCTTCCAGTAGGTATTTTTCTCTTGAAGGTGAAGGGCTGGTGGTTTGTGAAAATTTTTAGGGGGGGGGGGTTATCTTGAAAAAGAAGTAATAATATGTAGCCCTCTTAGTGGTTTTTAAACCTATCCCATGAATGGGATAGGTTTTCAAAACTATAATCTCAAAACACTTTGAGCTAATGATCAGCCTCACACGCCTATTGATTTGAGTGGTTGTTTTGAAGGTTAACTTTCTTTACTTTAAGTATCCAAATGACTATATTTAATTTGAGGGCAGTTGCAATGGTGTCCAAGATTTAAGCTTAAAAATGTAGAAAACCGCTTTATTACTGTATACCATAAACTGCCTCATATAAGCACCCCCACTTATTAGCGCCCCTGGTTACAGGGCCATCTACGTTTAAAAAAATACGTCTGATAATAAACCCTTCAATGCATTGAAATTAATTTTTGATTTATCATGACTTCTTGGCACTTAAAAAAAGTAAAAAATAGCTTGTTTCATTGTAAAAATCCGGGAGCTTTCTCATTTCCGAATATAAGCCCCCCCTCAGATATAACCTGTCCCATTATAAGTCCTTCTGGATAACTTCTAAAACCCTTTATGAAAATGTATAAGTCCAGGGCTTACATATTAAGTGGCAGTTTTTGGCAGTTAATGTATTCAGGTTGTGTAAAAATAATTTATCACATGACACGTAAAATAAAACCTCTCAAAAAGTCTCTTGAGCAGTGGAACAATAAAATATTGTAAAAACTAGGACAGCAGAGGTGAAATAAGTAAAGAATGTAACCCAATATTTTTGGCTGCATGCTTGATAAGACTTACTTTGCTGGGTATATAACAAATCTCCTAATGACTAAAATATTGTGACTTTTTGAATGAATCATATGCATACTGATTACAACACAATATTATTATTAAAGAATTAATAAATTATTGTTAATTATTGTTTCATATAAATTTCATTACTAGTTTATAATAAGTTGTTGATTATCAGAAAGTTACCAGAGTTGACTCAACTTAAAGACTGTAACTGATAATTTTCAAATGCAAATGATTAAGACCAAATTGTTATCATTTTGTTTTATTTTACACACATTTGATAAATAAATAGACCAAAATGTGTAACAAAGGAAATGCCTGCTTGGGTATTTATTATTTTGACAGCTGTCATATCCATTTAAAATGTGTTGACCTTAAAATGGGTTCACATCAGAAGTTGATGAATTAAAATAGACAAATATCCAAGATAATAATTCATTTACTTTTACCATCAGTGCACTTGCCAGTGGTGAAATCACTTGCCTCCCTCGAATCTGCCAATGCATATGTGGCTCAAGTTCGCTGTTGGTTCTCTCCTTTGTTTTTCTCTGACTGTTTCCTCAAAAACTAACATTTCCAACTTCCAAATCTGAATAAGAATGGTAGATGGTGTACCACTATATGATGTGGATGTGTTCCATCTAAATCATCATCATTATTATTATTATCATTATAATTTATACTAGAAGTGATCCTGGATCAAGGAGACACCTGCGTTCGACAAGTCCAAGTATGGTAACCCGTGGGGTCTTCCAGGCGTAAAATGCCCTTGTTGAAAAGCAAGAAGAGTGTGAGTGGGCGTGAGATGGTTGGTGGGGGTGGGTGGGGGTGAGGTGAAATCAGAACTAAGGTCCATTCCCAGGGTCATCTCCTGTCTGTGTAGCTAGGGGGAGTGTTTTGTTTGGGGTATTCACTCACCCTAAAAACCCATCAGTCTCCTAGGCTAGGTTTGCACTAGTAGGAGAGAACCCTGGGAGTGAGTTAGGATGATGATCAAAATTGGCATTCCCAACAGTTTTCTCCATCCCCTCTACCTAGGACACTATGAGGATGTGTTTTCCTCTTTTCGAAACACCACAATATAGCATATGGCCTGATAGTAATAAGAATAAGACTACTTTAAAAAAAAAAAAAATTACCTTAAACCTATTGCATAATTTACTATATGTAGTCCAAGAAACTGGGCTAGAGACATCGAGATCTAGATCAGACAAGCTAAAATAGAGCTTTTAGATCATGATTCCTGTTGTGGTCTGAAAAGAACTTTTGGCCTTCGAGACTAACGTTACCCGTAAGATCTGTAAAAGAATTTTTTTAAAATCTGTGCAAATTCAAAGAAATGCTTGCCGATACAACACGGATCCCAAGGGGGTAATGACGTAATGCGCCCCAAGGAGCATCTTGGGGAAACTAACATGTCGGTTCAGGGTTCAATATAGACTGTTACTTGCTTCCTTCCTCTAGTTCCACAATGTGAATTTATTACTAACAGCAAACGTGCAATAGCTATGCAAAGTGCCGTGGTTTATGGCCGA